ATGTATCAATCTAAGAGAAAATAAATTTAATAATGTATTTGCATTTAATAAAATCAAACTTACTTTAAATCGTATCTTGGGGTTGCCACGAATGTAAAAAACTAAAAGGATATACGGTAAATTATGTATTCTCATTCCGTAAAGTGAAACTTACTTTAAATCACATACTACGAAAACGACGAATGAATAAATCTTAAAGGAAATAAATAAAGCAATGTATTCTCATCTAGGAAAGTGAAACTTACTTTAAATTGTGCACCGCAAGAACGAAGAATGTATAAGTCTAAAAGNAAAACTGAAAGGATATACGGTAAATTATGTATTCTCATTCAGTAAAGTGACACTTACTTTAAATCATATACTGCGAGAACGATGAATGCATAATTCTAAAAAAAAATAAGTTAAATTATGTATTTTTTTATTTAATAATGTGACACTTATTTTTGATTGAAACTCTGATTACCATCAGGGTATAAATCTAAAAGGAAATAAGGTAAATTATGTATTTCCATTCAATAATGTGCAACTTACTTTGAATCGTATGTTGTGGTTACCATGAATGTATAAATCTAAAAGAAAAGAAATCAAATAATGTATTTTTATTTAATATAGTGAAATTACTTGAAATTGTGATCTGAATAAATGCTGAAGTCAAAAATAAATAATTTCATTTTTATTGAATTAATTAAAACGTATTCTAAATGGTGTTTCTCAAGAAATCTATGAATGTTGAACAAAGCAAGGAAAGAAATTATTTTCATTGAGTTAAGTTAAATTCACTTAAAATCATATATCTGAAATAATTGCTGAGCCTAAAGTGGAAAAAATAAGTAAATGTTTTTTTTTGTTAATAGAAAATAATACTTGTTTTAATTTTTGTGTCTTAATATATTGGTGAATCGACGACATTTAAATAAGTTGTTGTCGTGTAATAGAATGAGAATTTTTTTCAATTGCATTTCCTAATGTACACCTAAAGTGAAAATGAGATAAATAGAAAAAGCTTTGTATTTTTTAAACGAACTTTAAATTCTATTACTCTTTGGATGTATTGAATCTGAATGACAAGAAAGGAGTAAATTGGTTCTATTTAATAAGCTGAAAAGTTACTTTCAATCACGGATTTTCATGAATATAGGAATCTAAAATAAAATAAATGTAAAACTTTATTTCTTTTTTAAATTGAATGAATCCTACCTTGAATGATATATCTCGATGCATGCATAAATGTAAGACACATGGAAAAATATTTTCTTAATAAGCATTGTCTTAAGAGTCATTATTAGAAAAGATGAATTTCTCCTCAGGTTTAACGCGAATGTAAATGTTTAGACAAAAAGTATAATATTAATACTAAAAGACATACATAGAAAATACAGTAATGCATGTAGGCGGGGAGATATTGAAAACAAATGTAGTTCATGAAACAGGCTTGAGTCTATTCGAGCTCGTTTTGCAAGAAGTCTTGCCGAATTTTTTGTTGTTTTTCTTATAGATGTGGATGAAGATTGAGGTTATTCACATTTTCTTTTTATATGATAGCAGAAGCTTGTCTTTGCTGACGAAATTTTAATTTTCCCCTAATTCGTTTTTTTCCTTTAATTCATTTGTGAGAGTTATAAATATCTTGCTTGTTGCGTAATGTTTTTATCTCTACATAATTTGCGCTGATAACCGACGATGCACTGATTAGGACTCACATGTATCAAGTATTTTTAATTATAAAAAGAGCTGAAGCTAGTTCTGAGCGGCCACTGATAATCAATACAAAAGCAAAGTAATTTTGAGAAGAAATAGAACTAAATATTCTATTGTGCAATCTCAGCGGATAATATTAAAACTAAATAGAGTTATGCACAGTTCTACTAGTGAATTGAGGAAACAATCGATTCTTTGGCGATGTATTACCCATTTTGCATAAAATGTGCTGAACACTTTGCTGGTGTACGGAACCATTAGTGGTTTCGTAGAGAACGTGAAAAACCTTTTAAGTATGCTAGTATCTATCAGAAGTTTTGTAAGATACATACAAAACCATCAACAGTTCCGTATAGAATATGCAACACTTATAGAGAGCCTATGAACCAATGAATAGGTTTGGTAAGAAGCGTACGAAACCTTAACTACTTTACGGAACCACCTTGCGTTTTATATACGGAGGACAAATCCTTCAAATGCTGTACGAAACTATTCATAGTTTTGTATAAACAATACAAAACTTTCTTTGCCCCTTTAAACCATGAATGATTTCGTAGGCATAATACAAAACCACTCAAGGTTCGGTGTGTGTTCTAAAAAACCATGTATGCTTTTACGAAACTCGTATATGGTTTTGTTGGAAGTTTTCGAAATCCTTCCAAATCTACTGAACTTAAAATAGTTTTGCTTGAAAGAAACAGAACGATTTTCATTCTGCTGAACCTAAAATCGTTCGGTATACAAATGCTGAACTCTTAAGGTTCAGTAGAGTACCATTTTTTTTAGAGTGTACTTATTCGACAAAATTTAGAAAATCTTGGTTACCCTATCTTGATTCATTAACTACACGTTTTCAATCATTAATGGTACATCATTTGCCGCAAGTCGTGATTTCGAAAGTTCATTTTGTTACTGAATATTCTAGAGTAATTGGTGCAAATGGACCAGCAACTCATTTTTGGTGCATGCGATTTGAAGGCAAACATTTGTATTTCAAACAATTAGCTATAAGATCGTTGAATTTCAAAAATCCAGCATTTACTCTTATCAAGCGACATCAACTTCGACAATGTCTTATGTTGTCCAACAAGAACTACTACAATATATTTACTGAAACGATATCATTAAAAACTATAAAATACTCTCAGTTATCAATACCAGTTCAACGTTTGTTTAAACAGAATGATATTAATCAAACAATATTTGATGAATGTAAAAGAATCCATTATAAAAATGTTGTGATAATGAAGCAATCAGTATTCATTGAAAAATTACTTTATGTAGAAGAAGAACCACGCTTTGTTTATATCTTGCACCTCTTGAACATACAAAACACTTGGAAAGCAGTTGTTGAACATTTGCAAGTAGTAGGATTCAATGAGAAGATCTGGTCTTATGAGGTCGAGTTTCGTGGAACATTAGATTTATTAGACTTTGATAAATTTTTGTGCATTTTACCTCATGGACTTGATATTTACTATGTCCGAGGTTCTGCTTATGTTAACGTTTTACCTCGTTTGACGATTTGATATTATTAAGAGGATATTTTATTGTTTGTTTTTTAATTACATCTACTTCGTTTGTCTGTTTTGTTTTCAGGAATAATCCAGAATTTTCATTGTTTCTCATCGATAAGCCGTTTCATACTATTTTACCGATATTTTCCTTTGATTATTGTTTAGAAGAAGAAATCGATGGAAGTATGTTGGCGAAGTTGCCATTTGATGAATTACGTGTATTATTTCCAAAATTAAAAGATCGAGTATTATTTACTGAAAAGCTTGATTTGTTGATAAAAGGAAGCAACAGCATTGAAAATGAACAATTAGAATCAGAAAGTGCTTTAAATGCATGTAGCAAACAAACATTTGATAAATGTACTGCATCACAAACAACAGCTTCAACAAAAGATTCGCTCGATGATCCATTGCTATCTAGTAATGATAGGAGTAATGATACATTTGACACAACATCAAATGTGGATGACAAAACAAATGAAGATGAAAATGATGGTTCCGAAGAATTGCAACAGAATTTGCCGTTAGATTTTACATTGGTATCATTACCAGAAGAATTAGAAGAGATTATTAATGAAAACGAGCTAATAAAACTACGTGGACATACAAATCATAGACGAATATTGCTCAACTTCGTATTTAAAGTTGTTTTTAATACTTATAATATATTGTATAGAATAGTATAAAAGCCTTGTGCAGATTTTAAGGTAAATTTTGTTTATTTTCGTTCTAGGTATCCAAAAGCACATGATTACTTTTTAATTACACACGCTTTGCTTAAAGCATTAAAAATTCCAACGACAGATACAAACGCAGCAGTAAAAAGAAGAATTTTTCTTATTAATTTAATCTCCAGGACAAATTATTTATAGAATGAATGGCACGAAGCGATTAAACAAAAGTTTAAAAATGAACGTCGTCTTTTACAAAAAATATCTCCGATGGTTCAAGGAAAAAAGGAAAAGTTTGGTAAAGGTTCTGGCCGTTCTGCAAAAAAAAGCGAAGTTTTGTCTGCTGAGAGAAAACATGAAAACATGGTTAGTTAACTTTTACTTCCAAAGTCTGCATACAAAATATCGATGTTAATTGTTTTAGATTTATGTTAGTACGATTATGGATGAATGTGATATTGAGCAATTAGTTACGACAATGAAAGAAGGTATTCGAAATGGAACAATACATAGCGATACATTGAATACCTTATGGAAGAAAACATTCGGTTATCGTCGATTGTTTATTCGTTCGCATACAACCAATGAAATATTGGAAAAGTTTCCCGGTTATTCATATCCATGCCTGGTAAATCTGTTTAGAAATTAGCATGCATCTGTCTTATATTTTTGTTTTCTTGGTTTTGAACTGATGACTCTTTTATTTATCTTAGATGTTTGAAGAAGTAAAAATGATTGAAAATGTTGATATTGAAAATAATGTGTCTAAATTATTACCACGGTTATTTGATAAATTACCAAATAATTCATTATTTATAATGGGTGAGTGAGACGTAAAAGTTGAAAACGTTAACTAAGTTGTTGTCCTATTAATTACATCGAAAAAAAGATTTTCAGACCTTGAAATTCTTTTTTTTCAAGAGAACCTTGATCAATTACTTTTTGTCTCCAATTTTATTTTTCACTTTGATGAATGTTATGTGATTTATCTGAGAAAAGTTGAAACAATAGCACTAGGGCTAGAGAATAAAAATAAAATGGGAATGCTATTATTTATTTAAAGCATTTCTTTTTCTTTCTTTTAACATTCATTTTGATATTTGTGACAATCGTTTACTCTAAAGCTCTAATCACGTGATCTTTGTGGTGAGTCGATTCATTTAATATAGTCAAATGTAAACTTACGTTTTATTGTGCTTTAAAGTCCTTATATCCTTTACAGAATATACTTTTTCAAACTTCACACTTTTATTCTATGTAGATTTGCTGCCAATTCGTATAATAAAGCTATTATGCAAACAATTCCATCAATCAGTCAGTCACATCTTAGTCGATAATGTAAGATTTTATTTTTGAATAAAACTAGCAATCTCTTTTTTCATCTATTTCATTTAGGAGCCCCTTGTTCCAACACCTTGCATTAAAGTATCCAATGAAAATTTTGAATTATATCTTGATTGGCAAGTTGTCGCAGAAACAAGAAATCCTACAACAGCATTATCATTATTATTATCATTGTACAATGTATTTGAAGTTAAATTTGCTAAAAACAACCATACTTCTCGTTTATTAAATGGTGTTTTTTTCCAAAATGGAGAAGATCTTGGAAAAAATTTACGAATTCTTTTAAATTCGTGGCATTTCACATTTGAAGACCGTATAAAAAAATTACAAATTCAAACAACAAATACAATCGCCTATGTTGATAAACGAACAACATCAGAATTACAGCTTCATCCTTAAACAATAACGACAAAAACTGTTCATTCACCCACAAGATCAAATATTGAAGGAGAGGAATCATCTCAATCACCTCAATCAATGGCATTAATAATAGATGAACAAGAAGAACAATTGCACGATTATTCATTAATACAAATTGATGAACCTGAGCAAATTGATGTTCCTATTGAAACAATACCACCACCGCCAAAACATCCAGTAAACGAACCAACACCAAATACAAAAACGAAATCAAATGATTCATCGGGCATAAAACATACAGTATTGAAAGATGTAACTAACGGTGAAGCATCAACTGCACCAGTTAAAAGCAGAAAACGAAAAGTTGCATCATTACCAGAAGCAAAAAAAGTATCATCACGTCTAGCAGCTAAAAGAAGTCGAAAGGGCGTTTCTTCTTTTTAATTTTAATTCCGAGAACTTTCCTTTCAAATAGTTCTCTTTCTTTATTCTTCTTATCATTCTTATTAATCTTTCATATACACAGAAACCTGACTTACACGTTAAAAACTATGCTGATATTTTGTTACTTTTTAAATTTCATGCATCACTAACCACCTGACGAATGCTTGTAATAGATACTGTCATGCAGTGATATCCTTTTGAGCGCGGTGAAATTATAACCTTTTAAAAATTTTATTATATATTTTCCAAAAAGAAAAAGACAATAAAAAAAACATATTTGACATTCCACATATATTCATTCTATATCATCTAGGAAATGCTTACCATGCTCCTTATGCACTCCAACAAAAAATTCGCTATTTTCAGATACTTATCCGCACGAAGTATACTTTCCACCAAATCAGTTCTACCATCAATTTTTCACTCCTCACACACTGATCTTGATCTTTATTCGTTTATTTTCCAAGATATATCAAGGTACAGCTTTATTTTCAATGAAAAACGATTTCGTCTTTTTCTTCATGTTTAGATCGATCCATCATACGAAACTATATTTTGACTCAAGATTTTATGCATAAACAATGAAAAGTAAGTCTACCTTTCAATCATAAATAATTTCCTCTTTTTCTTTTCCTTCATATTTAGGTCCATTGATAACTCAAAAAAATATTTCCATTCTAAATTTTATTCATAATAAATGAAAGTAAAATTTATTTTCAATCACAAATAATTTCCCATTTTTCTTTTTCTTCATGGTTAGGTCCATTCGTAATACAAAAAACAACTTTTTATTGATAGTTTTATGCATAAACAATGAAACGTAAGCTTTATTTTCAATGATAAACAATTTCCTCTTTTCCTTTTGTTTTGGTTCATTCATAATTCAAAAGAATATTTCTATTCTAAATTTTGCTGATAAACAACTGAAAGTAAGTTTTATTTTCAATGATAAACGATCTCTTTTGTTCATTTTTAGATTCATGGGTAATTCAAAGAAATATTTCTATTCACGATTTCATTCTTGAACAACTGAAAGTAAGATTTATTTTCAATCATAAACCATTCCCTGTTTTTCTTTTTCTTGATTGTTAAGTCGATTGATAATTTAAGAATAAGTTTTTATCTGAATAATGGATAGTTGCAAGTTCGGTTGGGTTTTGGCCCACGCAGGTTGAAAAGGTGAAAGTGAATTTTATTTTAATGGTGAATAAAGGCGTCGTTTAGATTAATGCGCATTTGAAATTGAAGACTGAAGTTCTGGTCAGTTGATGAGCAACTGCTTTTTCTATCAGTTTAGGTTCAAGGCTGTCGACGATAGGAAGTAGTTTGTTCATCTTTGTTGGTCTTCCGCGAAATGTTGGGAGCACTCATGGTAAAAGAGGGCTTAGGATGTTGTTGGCGGCTGTTGTAGTTGTCGAACTCGTTGAGAAGAGTTCGATTTGACTACTGCTGTGAGCTCAATTCGTAAATGAAACGTTCATGGTATGAAGAGAAATGGATAGAACTTTTTGAAGCTATCGCTCTTGTTTTGCTTGAACCTTTTTTTGCAGGAGAAGAGATGGTGCGAGGTAAAACCATAATATGCTGAAACCAGAAAAGGTTCTGAAAACGGTACCCAAATCTTGAACCCTTTAAGGTTCTGTATGAGTCGGTTTTTTTTACAGAGTAGTTTTTTTTTTATAAATCTGTTTAAGGAAATTTTTTTTCTTTGTGATTGTGCTTATTATTATTTTTGATGAAGAAGATGACGAGTTTTGGTAGGAAAGATATTAAGATATTGTATTTGTATTAATATAATAAAAAATACTTTTTCTTTCACATATAAATCTCTAACAAACGGAAAGTCGATAGGAATAAGAAATAGTACCAACCGACTAACTTTGGCGTGTGTCGTTGGTATTTCTAAGGAAATAATTCGCATTGAAGTGCCTAGTTTCGTCGAATTGATGCTTCAAGCACTGCTTTATTCATTTCAAGTCTTTCTGGAACATAAATCAATGATAAAATTTATTTTATATATACGGATCAGTATATGAGGTGTCTCTTTAGACGATGCTATGTATCTCTTTGCCTCGAAGTCAATTTAAGATGTTGATTGCGCAAGCAAAGTGTTTCAATATTTTTAATTGACGAAAACAATTGAAGCATAGTTTCAATCAATACACAACTATCAGCGATCTTGATTATTTCGAAACTTAGTATCAGATTATAAAATATATTTAAAATGTATAAAAATTGTACATGTGAAGTAGGGGTGTCACATTTAAATTTAAAAAAAATTATTAAATCGAGAAATAAATTTTCAAAAATTTAATTTAAATTAACTTTTCACGAAGTTAAATTTAAATTAAATAAAATGTAAATTGACACCCCTAATGTGAAGTGTCTATATTTAATGAGATTCAAGATGATTAACTAAACCTGACATAAATGAATATAATTTTTTTTAACTCAAAGAATATCTTAACTATTCCATAAAAAATAATTTGTTCAATTTTGGGGTTGACATGTTTCAGAATCATAAGGAATATAATGACGATTAAGAAAAAATTCTAGAATTAAATTGGTTCTATATTTTATTGTTTTAGTATTAGCCCATTCCATCATAATAAATGGAATATTTATTTGTTTAAACATCAATTCACCTGTTTGAAATAAAAAATGTTCAGAAGTTTCAATATCAATTTTAATAATAGCATTACTAATCTTTCTTTGATTAACAATCGGTAATAAATCATCAAAACGCATTGTTTTAATAATAAATGGATCTTGATCCTTTTTCGGTACTTCATTGGTTAATTTTTATGAACCAATATTATTTTTAATATTAGCTCGAAGAGATAAATAAACATCTGATTTATTATAAAGTACACGAGGAATAAGTTCAACTTGTTTTTGAACATTTTCAAGTTGAATCTATCGACGAATTCGTTCAATATTTGGACGAAAGCATTCAATTGATATTATATTTGAACAACCTAATGATGCTGCATACATTGTATATTTACCTAGATTTGCACCAATATCAATAAATGAATATTGTTTATAAGTTGAGAGTATACGAATAAAACGTGTTACTAAATGTTCTTCCCAAATCCCATGTGATACTAAATGACCACTAACATCTCGATCTTTTTGTATTTCATGAACACAAACAGTTGTACGATATTTATCTAATAATAATTTTGTTTTAACACATTTGAATGATTCACTTGTTAATATATTTAGATCAACATGATCATTAAAACTTGTTTTCCATGAAATAAATATTTTAGAAGAATAAGAATTAATAAATGAAAATAAAAATGAATTTTTAAAAACATATACACTTATCAATAATACACATAATGCACGATGCAAAAGTCTTTGGAAGAATGTCAAACCCTGTTAGGCCATATTGCCAACTTCTGAACCAATCAATTTTTTTTATTAGAAAGAGCAATGTCTGAGCTATAAATTTTGTAGCAGACATATTGTTCCAAAACGAATCTGAGATGGAAGAAAAGCAAACAACTAAACACCTCTAAAAAGGTTCTGGCAACTTCACCATCGAGCAGCATAATTTTCTATGTTCTGTTAGTTTTTTTCAAATTAGAAGAGGAATGAGAAAGCCTGTTCAGTGATGATTTTTGTAGTACAAAGAGTGCGCTTTCTAATGGTGTATTGGAAGTTAAATTTATTTCTGATCTTTATATCAATAAAAAGCTTCTTCTGGAAGAGACTGAGTATTGTGGTCGTTCCCACTACTTGACTGTTTTACAACGATAAAAAATACTTTTTGAATACATTTTTTTCTTGCAAAATTCTACAATTAGATATATTTCGACCGAACAACGCGAAAAGAATTCAGTTCATGAATGATTTCTGAAGATGATGCCTGCTATTTTTTTAAACTGTTGGTTCTTCCAAAAGGCGCAGTTTTTCAAAAATTTCGTGTTTTAAACTGTTTTGATTAAAGCGTCCAAAATGGATCAAAAAAATTCTCAAAACTGATATCGATAGATTTTTTGATACGCTACATGTTGGTGTATTTTTTCTTCAAAATTGATCTATGTAGCTTAAAATAATTGTGAAATACAGACTTTTCAAGTTGAAAAAGCGTTGCAAGAACTTTTTTAGGTGTGTTTGGTTTTTAGCTTTCCCTCCATCTCAGATTCGTTCTGGAAAAATAAGTCTGATACAAAATTTATAGTTCAGACATTGCACTTTCTAATAAAAAAAAATTTGATTGGTTCAGAAGTTAACAATATGGTCTAACAGGGTTTGATATTTTTCCAAAGACTTTTGCATCGTGCATTATTATTAGACAAAAGTAACGAAATTTTCCTGTTTTATTCATCTAAAAATAAATGAATACATCAATAAGGAAAGATTCACATGGGTTTTAAATCGAAGCAAACGAATAAACATATTATTTTACGTAAGATAAAATAGTTTTATCCGACAGTAATATTCTATACTGAGGATTAATTAAGGTTTTTTCTTCACAACATATCACATGAAAACAAATATCGAATTTCTAGAATAGGAAGAACATTAACAAAATTCTCATACAAAATAAGAATATAAAATTATATTAGTAAATTCAAGGAAAGATCGCATCTTCTTTTTGGAACCGCTTTTCATTTCTTTCCCAGGGAAGACCAATAAAAACCGAGTTTATACCAATTGAAAGACCGCCAAAACATGATTTTTGATCATGAGTGTTCAGTTCTCTTTTCGATGATATAGATCTAACATTTACATATCAATACTATAAATGAAAGTCTAACATTTATTTTGATAAAATTGCATACGACTGAAAAATGTGTCTGATGATAGTAGAACCTTCCTCAGTGGAATAATAAAGGGTGCTCCTTAAGTTCTGATCCATCGTGCAACATTTGTTTTTTTATATATTGGTCGGACCAAAAGAGTTTATATTTGTAGTGTGTATACTACTAGTCTAGTTCTACTTTATACTAGTGGCGGAGCCAGGATTTTGAGCTGGGGAGCTCAGCCCCGTCTGAGGGACCTTTGAGCCCCAGCTGGCGAATAAAATGCATGGTTTAAAAATTTTCTGGGTGGGGCTCAAAGATTTCTGGGGGAAGGGGGAGGGTTGAGACCCTCCAGCCTCACCCTGGCTCCGCCACTACGTGATACTAAAATTTGAGCTTTCTATTTATCATCATTATCAATTTATATGCGTCACAAAAAACCCAACGAAAAATCAAAAAAATTGAGATACTTTTCATACATGACTATAATGTTGTATAATACAAAATTAGCCCTTCTAGTCTCAAACATCACCACCACTAAACAAGGAATTTTCTTTACTGAAAAAGTTTGTAAAATGGTTTAAAAAACAGTAATTTACTACTAACTTACTGGATTAAAAATAGTATTATTTTATCGTTCCATGCATTCTATTCGTACGATTTGCTGTTTATGAACGTTGTTATTGACGAAAAAAAGCAAATTGTATATATCCTACTCAATTCGAACAAAGTCATTCTTAAGAAAAAAAAGGTCTTTCTCTCATCCTAATATAATCGATGATTAAATATTGATCTACACAACACAAAAGTCTTTTCTAGTTAAAATAAGATGATAAAGTTTGATTTCTCTAGAATTTGATTTAAACAAAATATTAATTCATACTTAGGAAGGTTGTTTTAGATCAAGATTGGCAAAATCGAATAGATTTTTTTTCACACAAATTTATTTGAATGACTAAAGATACTTAAAAGACATGTTTCAAGTTACATATGTTCTTGTTAGAAATGGGAAAAGTTTATTAACCCTTGGAGTCCCAAATTATTTTTCAGTAAAATAAATTCAAGTAAATCGTGAAAGTGACTCATTCTAGACATAGAGCGTATGATATGAAGAACTCCGATGACTATGCTCTTAGTCTAATGCGTTTAACTTTATTGAATTTTGTCATAAGTCAGTGGATAGTTTATCTGTTGTGTTTATTGACTACAAAATTTATGCAAGTTTGTCATGAAATAACAAAAAACAATTCATTTTTTGTTTGACACAAAGAGATGCATGCAAAAATTGCATTTTACGCTGCTGAACACTGGAGAAGCCCTCGTACTGCAATATTTGCACCTTCCTCTGGATCCAGCAACAATCATATGTGCTGGTAACTGAGCTGCTGAAGGTTTGTTTTCTAATGTGTGTTGAATTTCATTTCGCTTCCTGGCAGAAATACAAACAGGTCTGCCTCTTCTTTTCCATGAACTTTGATTACCAATTAGTGATATTGAGACAGAAGAGAGAAATTCTATATGAATCATATTTTTCTCACTCAAGTCACTGTAACAGATGAATGCATTGAAAACACTTGCTTGAAGAAAATAAATAAATATGCGTATCCAGTTTCGCTTAGATTTTCTATCAATTGAATAATAGGACATTCGTTGATCAAAAAAAAATCCACGCCGTGCATGAGTTTGTTGTATTCAGATACTATTTTAGGACAACCAGCGGTTTGTTTTGATCCATACTTTTCTCTTCTAGTGACCGTTTCCGTTTCTCTTGGATCATAAAAATTGCTGGCAACAAACACCTGCTTTTTATCTTGCCACTTGACCACCGATATTTCATTAGCGGAGAAAAATTTATATTAACCTCTTTCCAATTTATCTGTTTGTAGGAGTTCCTTAGGAAACATCTTCCTATTGGGTCTTATTGTCTCAGTTGCTGCTACTTTTTTCTTTTTCAACCGTAGCAGCAAAGAAACAGAAGTAAAGAAATTATCGAAAAATATGTCATGTTCCACTAAGTTGATTCCACTAATAAGCTGCAAAACTACAGACTCATCTAATGCTCTTCGTTTTTCTTCTTGTTTACCAGTATAGATGTCGAAGTTGTAAAGATATCCAGTCAAAGAATCTGCTAAACACCACACTTTGTATCCCATTTTTATGGGCTTTGCAGGTAAAAACTGCGTCAAAGAACTTCTTTCTTTGAATTTGACCATACTTTCATCAATACAAATGTTAGTTCCCAAATTAAAATTCTTCTGAAAATTCTTTTTCAATAAATAAATAAAATCAAACACTCTGAATAGTTTATATTCGGTAGAATTCGTTGCTAGACATTGCATTTGCTACAACTTCTGTGTAGAATAGTTTACTTCTACTCCAATAATCTCTCATAAGAGGTAATCGATGTAGACTCATAATAATTAGTAAACCAAGAAAAGAATGAATAGCATTTTCCGTAACTTCTTGCCAATTACTGATAGAATTGTTTGCTAAAATCATTTGTTCTCCATAGATATTTGTTTGTGCCACTATCAAATCAATAATGTCTTTTGTAAAAAATTGATTGAATACGTCGATTGGATTGATGCTTTTAGTAAAATTTATAGTTGCGTGTCCTCTAACTTCGTTTAGAGAAATGGCTGTGTTCTCAAGAATATTTTAATTCCAATTCCATGTAAGATTTCCGTCGTTTTCATCTTCAGAGACGTTCTCCTCTTCTGCTTCATCTAATTCAATTTCACTTTGGTTCTCATTGTCAGAATCATCTTCTTCATCAAAGAATAAACCGCTTTCATCGCTTTCTTGATCAGAATCCATTTGTTTGGTTTGCGAAACAACTTGCAATATAGAAATAATCTTGAAAAAATCCGATATTTCAATCCGACTGTGCGTTAATTTTCGTAGATACAAAATGACAGAGAATGCCCTTTCATATACATATTCAAGCAGTATTTAAACACATTCCAAATCTTTCTTAATACAAAGCTATTTTTTATTCATACATAGCTCGAGAAGATTCTAGAACATTCTTTATGGCTTCACTCTAACAAATGGTGTGCAAATTTTTATAAAGTACGCGATAAAATTCAGCTATAAAACATGTGTAGCAAAAATGCTACTATGGGACTCAACGGGTTATATCCAGAGACCTTATCGAATACAACAACATGTCGTGTCTAATCCAAACTACATACGTATGTACATAGGATACGATCCCGTTGAGAAAAATATGGCTCTTTTTTAGTAATGATTGTACTTTAAATCTTAGATTGTTTTTATTTAACAGACATTGTGCTTTCGTATAACTAGAGTTTTGCAGTTCCTAAAAAGTTGTAACCGAGAACTGAATCGAAACGGGTGTTTTTAAAATTTCTTGGATATGAAGCCGTAAAAAAGAGCACTTTGGAACCATTAGAGGAACCGGAACTATTGAATCCTCAGATAGATACCAAAGCTCTTAAATTTAAGCAAGACAAGTTCATTTTTCCACTTTTTGAGATTCAAGATTTTAGTAAGTTATATACATTTGATATTGCTTTGCTTAAGTACTCCAATATGTGACGTTTTCAGTGTCAACAATTCAATAATGAAAATTTCTCAAAATGTATTTAAAATTGTTGTGTCTATCTTATGATTTAACTGTTTCGATTCAACGTGATATGCTAGAAGTCAAACCGGAAACTGCCTTTTCTTCATTTTCCGAGCCGAACTGGAACTGGAAAACTCGACCTATAACTCCTAATGGTTGTGAACTAGTTAAAAAAAGAACATACTTCTTTATCCATATTGCTTATTTGGCCAGAACGTAATACATTCTTCTTGTTTGCAAACAATTCCCATAGAATTGATATAAAAAATTGTTTTGATTTCATTGATGTCATTTCTTCGCAAGTCTGATCCTGTTAGTGTAACTGTGTATCGAACTCTTGCCTTCTATGATAGTATTAGTGTCAATTGTTGCCCGTTCAGTTGACTATTAATAGAATTATCGATACTGCAACAATGTTCATGAGATCTTCTTCACGTATTATTGCGCTAGGATACTCACATACTCACAGTTTCACAAAAAAGAGACACACTTTTTACGAGTTCTTTAATTCAAACAGAATCGCTTTAGATTCTTCTGATTGTTCTTAGTATTGCTCTTTTTCTTTCAAACATTTACAAAATTCATGTGTACACGGACTTATATTTGAAAGATAAAAGATATGACAAATACAGCAATAGCTGCCATGTGATCAATATATAGATTTGTAAAATATTCTCTTTCAATATGAAATCATATATCTACAACTTTCTGACAAGCAACTAGCTGAAATAAAACGTAAAGTAGTAGATCAACCAGAAAATATATCGTGACAAATGTATATTGATTATTATTGAATTGAAAATAATTGTATGCTTTGAGCATTTTTTAATTTTCTTCTGTTGGTCACAAATAAATTCAGAAGAATTAAGTAGAAGTGAGATTGTGTCACAGAGAATGAATTTGTAAGTCAAAAAACAAACATGTGTTTACTTTTGATCTTGTACAAATAATAGTTTCGATCGTCATCCTACAATTTAAACTATGATTTCAAGCAAGCTCACAATGTATTTTCTTCACTAAAATTTGATATCATACAATAATAATGACAATCGATAGGAACACAAAATAATATTGATCGTGATCATTTCGATCAAATCTATTTTTGATCCTATCTTAGCGATCACAATGAAAAACGAGACATCAGTATTTGTTGATCAACTGAAACAATTATTTAGATTCAAAAGTGAGTACATCACTTTGGAAATTAGAGTACATTTCAAATATGCGTTTGAAAATAAAGCTATATTACTTGAAACTATTTCTCTCATTCAAAAGAATATTTTATATTAAAATTTGTTTTCGATTTTTATTTTTTGAATTACTACTTGACGATCATTAACATCCTGAACAGCACACCATTATTTTTCCTTTCTTGATCAGCTGTGCACATAATATGTGTATAAGCATATATGAACATATTCATGTGAAGCAGAAGAATAAGACGAAAGAACGAAAAAGATAATAGAAAAAAACAGATCGTTCAGAACGAAACGTCGAAAACGAAAAGCCTTTATTATTTTCAAGATACATATAATAAATTTAGGATAATATCAGCTTCTGGAATTAATAAAAGGAGTACTCGCGCGACGTTAATAATCCGTATCTTAAAAGATGTTCTGTTTTGTCCTCAGCCTTTCCCACAAAAGAATTAGGTCAAAATAGTAGAAACTCTTTCTTTTCATATTATCAATGTCTAAAAGATAAAGATATTGCTCGATTAAGCTTAGAAATATCAAAAAGAAGGGTACTTGTTTGTTATCGCCCAAGAAAATTTTTTTATTTTTCGGAGTGAGGATGAAACAATTCAATATTATAAGGGGCGTCATAGAATTGATAATGAGATAAAAAAGATGAAAGGTAAGAATATATTGAAAATCTTTTTCTGGAACGACAACAAACAAGTACCAAAAGAAGTCATCTTGTCGATTTATCTGGTCGATATTTCTAATAAAACATTTTGCTTTGTTACTTTTGGAGAACACACGAAATTATCAATTCGACTCACACAAAAAGATTTCATACTCTTTCTCAATCATATTTTTGTTATTCTCTTTTTATTCTCTGAAAAGCTGTTTGCCGTTGGAATTATCTATTTGATGAAAATAAATTATGAACAAAATTAATGCCCACACCCTGATTATCAGCTTTTGTTGGCATTGAACTTACAAAGAAACCTATTCAACTGCCAAACGCCGTTCGACTCCATATTTTGGCTATGAATAGGACCTAGTGAGAGTAAGAAAATCCCTAAAGGATTCGGTTCCATAGGCTTTTGGTGACGAGTTATGACCGTTTCACTAAACTTTCATCCTATGCGTAGGTACCTGCAAGAAGATGAAATTACATAGTTTCAATTCAAAATTTCATCTAAAGTTAGATGTAATGATCCTAACAATATCCTGAGAGTTTCGCTCAAAATTAATGTTCTATGCTTGAGTTATTGCATTTTTTCAGCGAACTAAATTTTTGGATCATGTGTATGGCAAGCGACTAGATTTTGAAAACTTAATAACTCAAGAACAGAACAAATTTTAGCTGAAACTTTCTGTATATTCTAAAGATTATGATATCTAACTTCAGGCAAAATTTCAAGTCGAAACCATGTAATTTTATCTTTCAAGCACATACCTACAGGTAGAATAAAAGTTTAACGAAACAGTCGGTATTCTTGATCAAAAGTCGCTGGATCCGAACCGTTTTAGGATTCTCTTAGTCTTACAGAGTCCTATGTATAGCCAAAGTATGGAGTCAAACAATCTGATACTTGTTATGTTTCCTCGTTAGAAAAAAAATAATGTTAATGCTAAACGTTCACTAAATACTAGATACAATGAAAACGTCACTTTGTGTCATTCGAAGAAGCTTTTTTTATCTATGCATATTTCAAGAAGCGTCGTACCTAAAAGTTCTAAATCTTCAAACCCAACAGATTCGTGATTAACATGAGATTTTTAATAAAAACTTGATTGTTGCGCATATCGCTAAGTACAAATGCTTTTCTCTATTAAATTTTCTTGAAACAGACCTATGAAACAAAAGCACATTTTATCAAGCAGCTACAGTAAGTTGATTGATTTTGTTGCTTCTTTATTTTGAAAATTAACTGTTTAGTCAACGAATGTTTAACCAGCGTGGTTCAAAATATTTTTTATTTTTTATAGAATAGCTTATGAAATCTTGTTTTTATATTTCCATGACAAAGTCTGATTTGAAATAAGAAATGAGTAACTCAGCTAAATTAATTTTATCACCGACAAATAATTCAATACTTTTGAAAAAAGATTTCTTCGAGAATATATACGTCTCTTTTGAATTCAATCCAAATCAAGCAATATTATTTCAACATGAAAGAGAAATTAACACTATGTTTAGACGGCGAGTCTATTCACGATTAAAGTTGTGCTTGATTGGCAGTTGTGCATGCACAACTTGTTCCGTCTAAATGTGTATGCATGCATAATCCAGCAATCAAGCATTCAATTGAAGTACAAAAGGGAAGACTGCGTAGTGTATTGATCATTCTAATAAGTACACCCTCTCGCTGTCTATTCATTTATGAAGCGACACAAGTCAATTGTCTCATAAGAGTACAGTAGCAGACTCATTTCCGAATCTAACCAAACAG